ATGATTCAGGATGGCCGACCAACAGGAGACGGGTGGCAGTAGGAGTGGCTTATGTTCACTTGAGTGTCCAGAAAGGCTTCAGTGAGGGAGGGGACCCATGTGAACTGAAGCGAAGATGATCAACAACTGTTCATGGGAAGATCTAGAGTATTCCCAACAGGGGGAACCATGAGGGAAGTGTTCTGTGGGAAGAGCAGGTTTTCTGTATTCATCAAAGAGAAGGAAGGCCAGATGTCTACAGCACAGGGTGTGCAGGGTGGGATAGGGGGACAGTCACTAGAATTTTTTAGCAAAAACCATGGGCCAAGTCCTGGGCCAGGTACTGCGATGTGAAGCTGCAGAAAGCATGGCTCTGTCCTCTAGAGGCCACGGAGTAGCTAGAGAGGGCAACAGAGCATCCATCTGGCTAAAAGTGAAATGCCTCATGTTTTATATGAGACAAATAAAGTACCACAGCTTCCAACATCTAGAAGGGGACTCCATGGGCTTTCCCAAGTACCAACACCCCCACATTCTGTGCTATTCCATGGAACAAACTGCCGTATCTAATTCAGCGCCGATCTTGTACGTTTCCCAGACATTTTTATTAACTCATCTCTCCCTCCCCACCCCGCAAAAATATATCACCCTACAGTGGCAAAGCCTACATTCTAGATACATGACAGACATGTAGCTCAGCCTCCAATACCCACTTTCTAGATGATCCCAACGAAATATTTGGGGAATCTATAAAAACATGACACAGATTCATCTGAACTGACAAGCAACCCAAGGACACTTTGCAAACGTCTCTAATGAATGACACCCACACAGTGGGGCCCCTCAGGCTCTGCTGCTCTCTCTGCTTTCTCAGCATTCCCCTCCGAGGAGCCAGGCCCTGCCCCTGGGACACAGGGCTCCTGTCTCTGACCCCACAGCAACCATCGGTTAATGGGCGCCCTGCTCAGCTGTTATTTTGTCTTGTCCACACCCTGCCTTTTGGCCTTTCCGGTTGGACCCCAGGCCCCAGAGTACAAAGTCCATGCCTCATGTCTTTTCACATCCCAACACCCAGCTCAGTGCCTTTCCTGTAAGAACCTCTCAGTAAATTTTCACTGATTGACCACAGTTGTATTTTAAAATGCAGTGGTAGAGAACGTAGTGAGGAGATAACCTGAATATAGGCCGGGTATATGTTCGGCTTACTTTCATTTATTTCATCTGTTCGGTAAACGTTTGGAAGCATGCAGTGCTCACAGCATTACAAGGCATGATCTCTGCTTTTCAGAAGCTAGCTGCTCCCCAAGCCTCATGGAGAAAGAAGACAGAGAGTTAGACAACGCAAGGTACAAGCCGAAATATGTGGTGGGGAGATTACGTACCAGGGAGGAATCAGGAGGAAGAACTCATGGCGGGAGGCTGTTACACAAAATCAAGGAGCAAAGGCCTGAGTCAGCACCTGAGTCAGCACCCCAGCCCGCCCCTTGTGTGAGTTCAGCTGCATTCCCCTCTCTGGGCCTCAGCATTCTCATCCATAAAATGGGAATAATTAAGTCTCGTTCAGAGAGTTTGTGAGAATTAAATGTTGCTATGTATACAAAATGTTTCACACAGTAACTGGCCAATAAGTGAAAGAACACTCATCTTATTAGGCATTACTATTACTAATGCCTCACAACATGGTTTCAAAACTTCCTATCTGTGCAGCCTTGATCCAATGTCAACTCTCCATCCTTCAGTTTCCTCATCTGTAAGAACAGGATACTCATGCCCCCTGCACCACAGGGTTTGTTATTAGGGTTAAATGCCAGCATTGCGAAGCTGGACGGTGGGTGAGATAATATATAAGACATTTAGAATCCTCTCTAACAAACAGTGAGTGCTCAACAAACCTTGGTTAATATTATTACTACTGCACATTCTGTTTTATGTAACCTCACCCTTTTTTAAAAAATATGCATATAAACTATCAGCAGGAGAGCAGAGCGAGTGGGAGACTGCAAATTGTTTGTAATTTTTTTTCAGACTGCCAATGGCATGCTAGGTGAAAGGTTTCCCAATACCTCCACAAGAATCATTAGCATTAATTGGATGAAATAAAACATTTTTTAAAAGTTTCCTCACAGTAGAATCTGCTGCTGAAAGCATTCATTCTTTGGGGACAGGAAAAAATCCTCCAAAAATGAAACGGGTGAGAACAAAGCAGAATAAAATGAAATTAGAGCAAAAAAGTCCTCTGCTGGTTGAGAAGAAAACTACAAGCATCGCCGTCACTGTCACCCAGAGTGACGTGGACCGGGTGGCTCTCCAGGGCAGAGGTGCTGAGGGCCTCCCGAGATGTGATTCTGTGTAGTTGGGCCACACGCTAAACGAAAACAAGAGGCAGGGAGGGAGGAGAGGAGAGAGAGAGGGAAAAAGAAAGAAGAGACCCACATGTACACACAAAAAAGCACAAATAAAATAACCCAGAGCCCTGAACCACTAGATTGTTGCAACCAGAAATCGGGCCATGTGCAAAATTAGCAAATTTTACGTAAACTATTCCTGCTTGTCTCTGTACAGAATGCAGAGCCTGTGTTTGCGAGTTCAAGGGCTACCACTCCAGGAAAGTACGCCCCAACATGGCGGCACTTCCTTGTTCCAGTGCCTCAGAGCCTGAGAAGAGTAAGGGTCAAGGATCTCTCTGCTGAGACAGGAGCATCCTCTGTGCAGGGTGTGTGATGAGCCTGCTGCCCACTTCACATCCTGAATCAGGCCCACGGTCAATGGGTTGACGCCAGGCAGACTCTGGCTCCTCTAGTCCTCAACCTGCAGGGCTCCGCTCACTGGGAGCCTCTTCCTCCCAGCGTCAGGAAGACATTCCTGGGCTGGCACAGAAGGGCACGTGTTCCAGGAGGTCCTTTTCATGCCACGGCTGAGTTGGATCTAGGGAGGAAGCCCCACCACATCCCATGCCCTCCATCTACACCCAAACGAGGCCAGTGTGTCTATGGTGTACGTGAAAATACGAACAAACACTAGTGCCTAAAAGAGACAGGGAGAGGGACCCCAGAGTGAGAGAAATAAAGGAGGTATGGAAAGAAAGATAAGGAAAGAGAAACCAGCCAATACCTGAGCATGTGATTTTAAAGAGAAGACGCTACTAACCCAGGCCCACCCCCTGGCTGAGCATCTGTTAAACTGAGCCCCTGTCTAGACAGTTCTGATCTTCATGAGCCTAGGGGGCGGCCTCCTGGAGACCAGATCATGGCCTGTCCGACTCCCCTCCCTCAGTATTCCTCTGACACCGGGGCTACTGTCTGTCAGGGGCCCTTTGCTGTGTATGTCTTTATCTCCAAATCAACAGAGAGCTGACTACCTTTCATCTTCTCCTTGAAAATACCATCCCATCTCTTTCTAAAATGTTCTCCCTGTGTAAATGTCTCTGTTTATCTGTTGGGGTTTATTCTTTGCAGCCAAAGATGAGGGGCAAAGAGGGCATCCAGAAAACACTACATATTATTGACTATATTGCTTTAGAGCTTCATTTTTGTTTTTCTCTTGAGTGGTCTGAAATCATGGCACATTTGGAGTTCCCATGAAATCCCAGATAGACAGTTGTTTCAGGGTGGGAGACAGTTGGATGTTTAACCTTTGTTCAAAATAGACCCTAAAGAGCTTAGTGCAAGACGTTGGTTTTGGGAAGCAAGGAGCAACTAGGAATTCACTGGGCAATGGAGGTTAGCTCTCCAAAGACAAAGGGGTGTGGGGTGTTTGCAAGCCCTGGGTGGGTCCTTGGCACCCACACTTCCTTTGGCAACGTCCTGCCAGTGTCCCCTCCTCAACATTTCCTACCCTGTGGGACCTGCCTTCAGCACACCATCCGCAAACAATCCACTCTTAGAAGAACAGTCACCAGGGGGCAAAAGAGTGGACACCAACACCAAGAATCTTCATGTGCAATAATGGGAATATCACCACGTTGCCTTGTGGTTAGCTCAGTGGCCCAGTTGGGAAAACTTTATTTAAAAGGGCATATGAAATCAAGATACATGGAAAAATCATTCTTCCCATCCACCTTCTCAACTCCTCCCTCAGGCTCACTCTCACACAATTCCAGGAAGTGAGACTCCCTTGCAATGCCTAAGTCTGGGTTGCCCTCCTGTGAGGCACGTAGCTTGTAAGCACTAGAAACTGAGCTAGCATTTCAGCAGGCAGAATAACCAGGGAGACAGACTGTTACTACTTTACACAAAACAGAACCAAGATTCTTCTTCTCCTTCGCCTCTGGTCCCTATGTAATCCTTAGCCCCAGAAGCCAGTCAGGAGCTGACTTAACACTGAAACTCAGCTTCTGTTCCGTAGGTGAGTTTTGCGAGTCCTGTTTCGGTGAACAGCACCAAGGGAGCAGTTAACCAGAGTAAATGATACTTTCCAAAGGCAAATCAGACTCATGTCCATGACTTCAGTCTCAGAAAGCTTCAAACAGGAGAAGCACGTCCCTGCCCACCAGCTTGTGGCTTGAAGGCCCCCAGGAAAGCTCAGGCACACTCAGGCCCAGGACGAAACTGCGGCTCTGCCAGAGGAAGGCAGCCCGGCTGGCAACTCCCTGCGCCGTGGGCAGAGTGAGGGCATTCGCAGGAAGCCAGACGAGTCCTTTGGGACTCATTAACTTCAGAGAAAACTGTTCACACTCAGCCCCATCCAGGCCCTAGTCAGCATGGCCATCAGCGTGGGAGTGCCACTGTCCTCAATCTTAGGGACTCCCTGGCCCAGCCACCCCTCATGCTTCCCAAGTCCTGAGCCAGGGAAGCCAGTTTTGGGGGAAACAGCTCACCTCCTGAACCTCTGAGAGGTTCCCGATGAGACCGCCAACATTCCCGGGACAGAGCATCCGGCGCATCTATTAACTGCACAGCCCCCAAAAAACCACAGCCACCCTGCCAGCTGCTCCAGTACACACACCTGCACCCCTACCCCTCTCTCCCCACCCCCCACCCTTCAAATCATTGTCAAGTCATTGAAGAATGGCAGCTCCCTACCTGAGGGTGGCGCTCTCCCCCTGCCGGACCGTCACGTTGTCCATAGCTTTGGGGAAGGTGGCATCTCCGCTGCGCACGGGCACTCCTGTGGGTACAAGGAACAGCAGCCTGAGAGACACGACCACGAGGCACTTCCAGGGCAGGAACAGGTACCCACAGACCCCCATCCTCGACAGCCACAACTTCCCAGAACTCCTGCAGCTGCTCGGCACACGCCCCCCGGGCGAGCACAGGAAGTGGGTGGGGTGGGGGAGCGAGCACAGGGACTGAGCTGTGAACTAGCGGCGATCCAGAGGCGCGGGCAGGAGAAAAGCGCGCAGACTCCTCCGAGTCTAATATTCCTCCCCCAAACCCAGCCTCAGCGCTCCAGCCTCGGAGAACCAGTTTCCACGGAGGACATTCAAAGCGGGGTTCCTCGGTGCTGCTTCGGCCGGGGAAGGTGGCCGAGAAAGGGGAAGCTCAAGGCAGGTGCAAAGGTGTGGGCAGGTCTCAGGAGTCCCTTCTTCCCGTTAACAGTTCAGACATGGCACTTTGGAGTGGAATAAGCACTTTGGTACCCGGAGGGGGACAGAGGGTGGGTTAGATCCGGCTACGCAGAGGAGGTCTGCAATCCCTCAGTTCGAACGAGGGGAAATCCAACACTTTCTTTGTAAGTTTCAGTGGAAAGCTTGCCAGCAGAATACAATCTGTAACAATAGCAGAGATGAAAAGTAGAACACGCAGGAGGCAGCAGGGGGTGTGCGAGGAGGAGACCGCTGCGCCGGATCTGGCCCCGGGGATCCTGCCGCAGCCTCCTAGGTCAACTTCCTCGGAGCCGAATTGCGCGCTGCAGCTGCTGCGATGTAGCCGGTCTCAGCTGGGGAATTGGCCGCGGCGGCGGCCAAGGCTGGAGCGGCCGGGCGGAAGGGGACCGCGGCGGCCCCTTGCTCGCTCCCTCGCTCGCTCGCTGGGGAAAGCGAGGCGCAGCCGGCACCGGAGCCGCGCGGAAGCCACGCTCAGCGGCCGCCCCCGGCCTCCGCGCCGCCTTCCTCCCGGGAGCAGCCCCGACGCGCACCGGCCCCGACCGCCGGGGTTGTCATGGCAGCAGCTCCATCACTGACCGCCACTTTCTCCGGTGTCGGCGCCGTGCGAGCGGGCGGACTGCGCGCTCATCCCGGCGGGCGGGCGCGGGGCGCGGGCGGGCGCCCACCTTAACCCCCGCCGCGCCGCGCTGCGCCGCTGCACTGCACCAGCCAAGACGAGGAATTTAACCATTTCTCTCCTTGAAAAACTGTCACTTGCAAATTAAGAAGGCAAAGTTACCACGCGGTTTTAATAAGCCCAAGACATCTTAATAATGGTCACAAACTAATTAACTAGGAAAGGAAAACCCTGTAGTTTGCATACACGCACCTTAAAAATGATCAAATTAATTCCCTTAGCTTTTAGAGTGTTGGGAAGATGTTTTAGAATAATCTCATTTTTATTCAATAGTCAATGCCTACACCACCAACCTCCTACCCATAAAAGCCAGTTTAAGACACCAGAGATTCAATACCACCATTCTAAACAGAGACCTTCCATATACAAAACAAACGCAAAATCACAGAAGCCTCTTAGTGCGTGAAACTGGCAAAATCGCATCAAAATCTTGATCAAGTTCTGACTTACATTCTTTATCCTTGTTTTGTCGACATTAAAAGATGGTAGCCCTGCAAAAGCGCTCACTCAGATGAAGGAGTGTGAGCCTCCTGCTTTATTCATGCAGTGGACTCCCAAGTTTCCTGGGCTTCGCATTCTTGCAGAGCTGATTTCACCTTAATAGGTGTGTTTTTCAAATTTTTGATGCCTGGGGGAAAACTGAATTCGTCTCAGTTCCTGTCACTTTCCCTCTCTGGATGCTGTGGGTCCCTGGGTACCTACATTGTTATTTCTCCATTAACTTCAGCTCTGCAGGAATATGGTGCATTCCCCTTCCTGGTCCTGCCTCCTGAGCATCAAGGAGGGAAGACCCCAGCAACCCAGCCCACACAGCAGGGCTAACACTGCCACCTGTCTTCTCAGGGACTTCGGCCTGCACTCCCTGCCTGCACTGACCCATATCTCCCTGGGGATAGAGAGGAGGCAGTAGGGGCTCTGTTTTTTCCCCTCAACTTTCTGTAAAATCTAAGAAGGAAGGAAGGAAGGGAGGGAGGGAGGAAGGGAGGGAGGGAGGGAGGGAGATGGATGATAGAAAGAATATATATATGCATATGTATATATATGCATATGTTGTCAAATAACAGAAAAATATTCTTTCCCAAAAGCCATCTAGCCAACACCAAAGAGGCAGAATCATTAAAAGGGTCCCAGTACCATAAAAGTCCTTGTACCTCGCAGGTAGCAATCACTACTTTCCTGTAAGTAACACACGTGTTAGGATGACACAAGCATTTCACCTGTCACAACCCCCTCACTCTAGCTGCTTTAGACTGGTAGGGACTGAGGTCAGGTTTGCAGGTGTGGAAGCCAAACTCCAGGGTAGCAAAGAAAGACTGAGTGGGCTGGCTTTTCTCTCTCTAGTAGTTGACCAGAGAGTGATCAACCATGAAAAGCTGAGCAATTTGACACTGAAGATCTCAATTAGTCCATCGTTTGACCAATTCCCCCTACTCTCCTCAGGTGACTTTTTCCGATATTAAACTCTCACGGAAACTCATCTGCAACTTCTGGCCACTGGGGACCATTTGATATATAGCACCCAAAAAATCAATTGTCAACCTACGGCCACAACGAAAGACTTTACTAGCAGCGGGGAAATTGACATTTATGGAGAGCAAAAGACTTTTGTTTATATTTGTGAAAGAAAAGGAAGAGAATCCCCCTATTTCAGCTCCAGTTCATTCTTACAAGTCCTTGTTTCATCTCCATTCTACAATGGAAAGTTGTGGAAACAGGCAATTGAGTGATTTCGCCAAGTTAAGATATGTGATCACAGACACGGTGTGATACATAATATGTGTTTTCTGATGTTCAGTTTACTGAAATTGGGGTTCTTCTTTCCCAAAAGCCCAAGGGCTCCCCTCTAATCATCCATCCATTTTAACCACCCCCAGTCCCCCTCCAGCAACCCCTCTTTGTATATGCATCCTCACTGCCTCGCATGGAAAGGAAAGCCAGCCATGAGGAGGAGAGGGACTTCTCCCATCTTTGGAGCCATTTCCCTGCAGGCTGGAGAATGGCAGCGATGATTCCTTTCATGATAAATTCTAATCCAGGCTTTTGCATCTAATTCCCAGGTAGGTACAAATGAGCATTAGTTTTTGCATCTAGGAATGTAGATAATGACAACAACAGGCCTTCCCAAGGGGCCTACATACATGATTAACTCTACAGTAAAATACTTAGAAATCCATTTAAGGTAGAAGATGCTCTATTAGTACATTTTGCCTGCCACCAGTTCATTATTCTGGCTGGGCAGAAAAATAATTCTTCCGATGGGCTCTTCAAGACATTTACTTTATACCAGTCTGCATGCAGTTGATCTAAGACAGTCAGACCATCATCGTCTCTGGCCACGAAGGGACAGTGCTGAACTGCAGGATCCCATCACTCGCCAAAAGGAAACCCAGCAAAGTTCGGGTGCTGCTCAGGACAAACAAAGAAAAGGCACTTGCAGCTTCATACCTGCTCTTTGAACCCAGGGATCCAAACTTTATTCATAAAGGCAAGTTTAGAAAGTGGAGAGAGATCAGAGAGGCCCTCACAATTAACAAGGCATAATCCACTTCTTTCAAACCCTTTATTGAAATGGTTTGAATAGGTGAAGATCAAAATCATATGTCAACTCCCTCCCCATCCCCTAATCACTAAATATAACCAACATTTAGTGGCTTATCTTCTCTCCTGTCTATTGCTTCATAAAAACCGCTGGATTTATTATATTTTCCCCAGCATATCCAAGTTAATGAAAAAGGGATGACAGTCAGAGCAATTTCATTATTTGTGTTCTTTATAGAAACAACTTCCTTTCTGCCTCCTGGAAAGCAGATTCCTGATGAGCACCCACCTCCACCTTCTTCCGCATCTCCCTCTCCTTCCTCCCTTCCCTCTCGCATACACATATACTGTACACATAAATCAACTTGTCACAGCTTGTCTCCATGCTGACAGCTGTAATTGCTTCAGGTTATAAAAATATCTATAGGACAATGCCTTTCAAACACACACGCGCGCGCACACACGCGCATGTACACACTGTCTGAGCAAAAGAAAACAATCATATTCCCTGTAATAGTCCCGTGACTGCGAAGGAGAGGTGTGCAGCGGCCAGCCCGGCAGACCGGGGAGTGCCGGCAGGCAGGTGAGGACACGGGTGCACGGAGAATCTGGCAGAGGCAGCATCCAAGCGCCACAGCAGGGTTGGGAGGGGAGCAATTTCCAGTGAAAAGGAAATCAGCTGTTGTTTTTGTTTGACTCCGCTACTTACAGTAGGCCTGGGTAAGCTAAAGAGCCATGAATATTCCACACAGGAGAGCAAAAGAGGAGCACTAGCTTAAGAAATGCCAGTTTCTCTTCTCTAAAAAGGCTAAAGGCCCCCCTCTCCTGGTGGAGATTCCAAACTGGAGCGCAGGCAAGAAGATGGCACATGCAGGGCCGTTAGTGTGGCGTGGCACCGAATAGATAGCGGAAGGCGGACTCAGAAAAGGCGGTGTTGGTCTGGACTAAGAGATGCCTCCAGAGGAGCAGCGCAGGGCTGGACTCTGGAAAAATGCATGTTCTTCTTCCTCCTCTGTGATTATAGGGTCAAAATAAAATTATCCAGCTGGGTCCTGGCTGGTGTGGCTCAGTGGACTGAGTGCCAGCCTGGGAACCAAAGGATCGCGGGTTCAATTCCCAGCCAAGTCACACGCCTGAGTTGCAGGCCAGGTCCCCAGCAGGGGGCGTGTGAGAGGCAACCACACATTGATGTTTCTCTTCCTCTCTTCCTTCCCCTCTCTCTAAAAATAAATAAATATTTTTTAAAAATTGTTCAGCTGAGCTAGAGTCTAGCATGTTGGGATTTCCATAGGGAGAGCAAAAAAGGGGGAAGAAGCCTCCGTGGAGAAAAAAGAGGTCACTAATGGAATGGAGGAGGATAGAAAGCAACAGCAAAGGTTAGACTACCTGTGGACTTCGAAAGCCATCAGACTTCGTAAGAGATACATGAAGTGCAGTGATGGCCAGTAGAACACTTGGTAAGTAGACAGAAAAGAGAAAGGAGCAGAATAAATAATCAAAATCGAAACACCTTAAAAGCAAAAGCCAGACACCCAAAGGGGAACATCTCAAGAGTCAAAGGTCTGTGGGGAAGACTCTTCATCTTGGTTTTGGTTCATAATCAGACCCTACATTCCCAGGGTCCCCAAATGATACAGTCAGAGGGAACCTTGAAGATGTATAGTATCACACTCTCATTTTATAAATGGGGATTGAACCCCAGGAGAGAGGAATAATTGCTGTAGGGACTAAAGTTAAAAATTGGTGAATCAGGACTAGAACTCAGGACTCCTGCTCCTGTCCAGTCTTGTTTACTCTGTACCTGCCAGGTAAGGACACTGCATAAGAACTAAGTAGTAAAGTACCTCCTTCAGCTGCTATGTCTACAGGCAAGACAGAATTGTAGAGGAAGTCATGTCATTACGGCCCAGTATATCTCTGGGTACTCAATTATTCAGCTGCATTCCGTGTTTTCAGTAAACTTTAATGAACAGGGTTTGAGATCCTTCTGTGTACCGGGAACTGTGTTGAAAGTTGGAGACACAAGATGGAAGGCATAGCCCCTGCCCTCAATTTGCTTACAGTATAGCGCTATTGGGCTTGTCAGTGGTTTTATTTGTGTATACATTCAGGATTGTTGCAATTATAATGTGCTCAACACCATGCTCTCCGTAAGCCCTTGAGAACGTTCTTGTTGCTGAGAAAAACAAGCTGGGAGGTGCCTA